GCAAAAGGGGGAAAAAACAGAAAGGAACTTTTCTGTTGCTTGTAATCAAGGGTAAAAATAAAAGAGGCACAATGAAAATTAAGGAAAATAAACAGTGATCAAGGCTTTTCTTTTTCACTTGCCTGCGGAGTCCTGCTGTGTGTCCAACAATGGAAGGAGAACAAGGCTTGGAAGTGGGGGTCCATGTCGGCTTCCATCACATATGAGGACAGAAGGACGCCTCCACTGAGCCACAATAATGGGACAGGGAAGACACAACTCTCCCAGCCCCCTTCTCCCACGCAGAAGTTGAGGCTGTGGCTGTATCAGGAGAGAATTGGGTAGGAGGAGGCAGAGAGGAGGAATGATTCAGGAATGAGTACTGCTTGGCCCTTGACTGGGAGATGTGGGTTTGCACCTAGATGTAGCCCTCAAGGTACCCATTCGTTCAGATCTCTTGGGAGCTGGGCTTCCACTTGGCTAGAGGCCCTACAATCAAACCGTGGATGAGCTGTTTCACCATGGCTACCTCCTCTCATCTCAAGACTCTCTGCGACACTCAGGAGTGCATTTCAGTATCTGGGTTCTAAGCTGGACTCTGAGATTTGGCCTGGACTACCCTTAGCCAGGCTGAGCTGACCGTGGCTTTCCATGAGGACAAAAGAATGACAACACCTTCCATATGCCACGTGGTATGCTGTGGGCCTATCAAGCAATGTGCGTTCCTCACAGATGCTCTATGATGAAGGTAGGTGTGCTCCAATTTCAGATGTGAAAGGTTCAAAATGACCAAAGTATGGGGCAGAACACATGAATCCACGTCTGTACCACTACTGTCAACAAAGAGCAAACTTGATTTTCACAGGATCACTTTTCCGGAAAGTGGCAGAGCAGGGATCTTCACTCAGGTATCTGACCTGGAGCCCACACATTTCACCACCACACCAGAGAGTTCAGACAGACGGTGGGGTTGGGCTCCTAGACTCACTACTAGGATGGGACCACCCAAAAGGGAGAACCACGGTGGGAGTGGGAAATGTAGTGAGAAACTGCTTCACGTGCAGTTGATTAGCCAGGCAGAACACAAGTTAAGAGCAATAAACAAGGAGTCCTGGAGGCCAGTGAAGGGTCAGACGCAAGTAGAACAGCGACAAGAAGAGAAGCTGGACTCCAAGTAGTCAAGGGACGAGCTCCCTGTCACCCGGAACAGGTGGAGGACAGAGTGGAGAGAACTGGAGAGAAAGCAGAGGGGTCCAATATGTGGGCAATGCCTTGGAGTTACAGCTGAGGATGATCAAGAATTCCCAGGAACCATGGGTCCTGAGTCCCAGCCAAACTTGTAGTGGATACTGTAGTGATCTGCTGGCAGGGGGGCAGGTGCACCCCCCCCCCCCCAGCTACTGGACATGTCCACTGCTGATGCTCGCAGCTTCCTCCATCTCTGGGAACTGCTCTACCCCAGGTTATGTCTGTTGGGGGTTAGGGGACATGGCCAGTGGCTGGCTGAGATGGGACTACAGAGGCCCAGTTCTCTAGCCTCAGCGCAGGACAACCCTAAATTATTACCCAAGCTCTGGGGTTCGCCCAAATGATTGGGGGAACCCTGCTCCTTCAGCTGCACCCACATCACAAGTCAACTTCTCCCTCTGCCCAGTCCCACCTTCCTCACTCCCCAACAGGTGTACCTCTATAGAATTTTCCTGAATAAAAGCTTCTGCATGAAACTCTCTGTCTCAGATTTTGTTCCCAGGGAATCCAATCTAAGATACTTCCTCTGCCTCAGCGCTTCTCACCACTCCCTTCAAGGAAACTTCTGGAGAGATTCTCAGAATCGATGGGAAGGACGGGAGGATGAGCTGGCGGAGGGAACACTTCACCTGGCCCCCAAGCACAGGCCCCTCCTGTCCAATCAGATTCTCCCACAGTCCCAGGAACCAGCTGCAAGACTTCCACCCTGATTCTGGCACCAGCCGCTCAGCGCAGTCTAATTGCTCCAAATTTTATTTGAGTCTTTGCTGGGGCTGTCACTTCATCCAATTAAGTGGAGGTTACAGAAGGATCCACTTGTCATCACAGCCATCCCTCCTTGTGCTAAATGCTTCTGGAATCTTAACTACCAAGCAGGCATGATCAGAAAAGATGGCTCTGGTGGAGAAGGTAGTATTTCTTTTTCATAAGGACAAACACGGGCAGGCCCCTGAGCCTGACATGTCCTACCCGTGTTCAGCGGCTACATAAATTAGACTGGCCTAAATAAGTCGGGCTGGAGGCAGAGATGGAAACAGAATGCAGATAAGGCTTGCCACCAGGCCGGCACTATGTGAGCAGGTGGGGAGCCCGAGTTGCTGGGGCAGCATGGCACAACAGAAGCACCGAGCAAACAGCCAGATGTGGGCTCAGTGCTTTTTTGCCCCAATGTGAGGACATCCAACAAGCCCTTTTCCCCTCCCCCTCTAATACCTTTATTGATCTGACCCCTGACAAGCTCTCTAGCCTCCACTCCTACCACTCACCCATTCCATTCTGATCACATCAACTGCCCTCAATTCCTGCAATGTCATTCTTGCCTCTAGTGTTTTCCTACTGTTTTCCTTCCCTAGAAAAGTCTCTCAGTTCAGTTCAGTTCAGTTGCTCAGTCGTGTGTCCAACTCTTTGCGACCCAATGAATCGCAGCACGCCAGGCCTCCCTGCCCATCACCAACTCCCGGAGCTTACGCAAACTCATGTCCATCGAGTCGGTGATGCCATCCAGCCATCTCACCCTCTGTCGTCCCCTTCTCCTCCTGCCCCCAATTCCTCCCAACATCAGGGTCTTTCCCAGTGAGTCAACTCTTCACATGAGGTGGCCAAAGTACTGGAGTTTCAGCTTCAACATCAGTCCTTCCAATGAACACCCAGGACTGATCTCTAGGATGGACCGGTTGGATCTCCTTGCAGTCCAAGGGACTCTCAAGAGTCTTCTACAACACCACAGTTCAAAAGCATCAATTTTTCAGCACTCATCTTTCTTCACAGTCCAACTCTCACATCCATACATGACCACTGGAAAAACCATAGCCTTGACCAGACGGACCTTTGTTGGCNCCAGTTGAGCTATTTCAAATCCTGAAAGATGATGCTGTGAAAGTGCTGCACTCAATATGCCAGCAAATTTGGAAAACTCAGCAATGGCCACAGGACTGGAAAAGGTCAGTTTTCATCTCAATCCCAAAGAATGCTCAAACTACCACACAACTGCACTCATCTCACACACTAGTAAAGTAATGCTCAAAATTCTCCAAGCCAGGCTTTAGCAATACGTGAACCGTGAACTACCAGATGTTCAAGCTGGTTTTAGAAAAAGCAGAGGAACCAGAGATCAAATTGCCAACATCCACTGGATCATTGAAAAAGCAAGAGAGTTCCAGAAAAACATCTATTTCTGCTTCATTGATTGTGCCAAAGCCTTTGACTGTGTGGATCACAATAAACTGTGGAAAATTCTGAAAGAGATGGGCATACCAGACCATCTGACCTGCCTCTTGAGAAAAGTCTCTAATCTCCCTTAAATAGCTGACATCTTCTCATCTTCCAGGTTTTAGCTCAAATATCACTTCCTCCAAATCTCTCTCATTCACTTATCAAAATAGGTCTCCCAACTAATTCTTTGTCACTCTACTCCATTAGATTCCAACATGCTCCATAGTATAATATACTGACCATTAACTCTTTCAGAGGAAATCCCTTCCTGCAGAATATCACTGCCCATTATGGTAGCCCCTATTGTGTGATTATTTACATTAAAAAAAATTAAAATTAAATTCCCAAGTCACAGCAGCTATATTTCAAGTGTTTGTAGCCTCACATGGCTATTAAGTCACAGAGAGCTGACAGCACAGACACAGAATGGCTCCATCATCAGAGAAAGTTCTGCTGGACAGTGGGGCCTGCAATACACACTTTGTCACTTTGATCAACCCCTGTATCCCCAGTGCCTTCAATTGTGCCTGGGCAGATCATGGCCACTCAAAATCGTTTAAGTAAACAAAGTACAGATCAGCAACAAAAGTCTCCAACAGAGGTATGTTCAAAAAGAATATTCACACCTGTCTAGGGAAGTTGAAGAAGTCTTCACAAAGAAACTGGCATTTAAACTGAGCTTCACAAGATGACAGCAGAGAAAAAGGTGAAAAGCCATCAAGCAAGGAGAATGGCAGTGGTAAAGGCTCTGAAGGATGAAAGATCATGCGGTTTAAGGTTCAGGGATTTGACAAGTTTCTCGGTGGTGGTCCTGTTGGTGGCAGGGTTGAGAGTATCACTCGGGTTTCCCTTCCTTGAAAGTCTGATGCACAGGGCCTCATGGCTGAGATATCCCATTCAGTGTCCAGAATTTAAATGTGTACTAGTGAACTATATCAGTCGAAAGCAAGAAAAATAGAGTGCTTTTTCTTTCTTTTTTTTTTTTTTTAATCCAAGAAGAAAAGAAATGCATCCCTGGTGGCTCAGTGGTCAAGAATCTGTATAACAATGTAGAAGACGCAGGTTTGATCCCTGGGTTGGGACGATCCCCCGGAGAAGGGAAAGGCAACCCACTCCAGTATTCTTGCCTGGGAAATCCCATCACAGAGGAGCCTGGTGGGCTATAGTCCATGGGGTCACAAAGGAGTCGGATATGACTTAGCAACTAAACAACAACAAAAACCCTCACATCCTTTTCCTGCTCTGCATCTTGTTGCTTCCGTGCTAAACTCCCACACACACAGGTAGCCCAGGAGACAAAGTACCAATCTTAGGATGGAGAAACAGAAAAGCGTGGAGGGCATTATGCTAAGTGAAACAAGTCAGACAGAGAAAGACACATACTGCATGATACCACTTATATGTGGAATCTAAAAATTACAACAAACTAGTGAATATAACACAAAATAAGCAGTTGCACAGATCCAGAGAACAAACTACTGGTTACCACAACTACAACTGATTACTGCGTGCGGGGCGGGGCACAATATAGGGGTGGAGGAGTAACTGGGTGTAAGACAGGCTCAAGGACGTATTTTTTTTTTTTTTTTTTTTTTTTTTTTAACAACTCCCTTTTTTGCTGCATCAGGCTTCCCTTTAGCTCGGTATGCAGCAATATCCTTTTCATACTTTTCCTTCAGCTTAGCAGCCTTCTTCTCATAAGGCTGCTTGTCATCCGCAGCAGTGTTATTCCACATCTCTCCCAGTTTCTTTGCAACATCACCAATGGACAGGCCAGGATGTTCGCCTTTGATTTTTGGACGATACTCAGAACAAAACAAGAAAAAGGCCGAAGGAGGCCTCTTGGGTGCATTGGGATCCTTGAACTTCTTTTTTGTTTCCCCTTTAGGAGGGATATAAGTTTTCATTTCTCTTTCATAACGGGCCTTGTCCGCCTTAGCCATGTCTTCAAATTTTCCTTTCTCTTTAGCAGACATGGTCTTCCACCTCTCTGAGCACTTCTTAGAAAACTCTGAGAAGTTGACTGAAGCATCCGGGTGCTTCTTCTTGTGCTCCTCCCGGCAAGTTTGCACAAAGAATGCATATGATGACATTTTGCCTCTCGGCTTCTTAGGATCTCCTTTGCCCATGTTTAATTATCTACCCTCCGCGAGGCACAGAGTCGCCCAGTGCCCGTCCGGCTCTCACTTGCCCCGGCGCTGTCTCTATGGAGCTCAATGTACTGCAATGGCTGTGAGAGCGGGAGCCAGACGCAGCCTCCTCACTCTCTCCGCTCTGTAACATTACTCTTCAAGGACGTATTTTACAACATGAAGAATACAACCAATACTCTTTCATAACAATAAATGCTGGCTCAGATGGTAAAGAATCTGCCTACAATGCGGGGGATCCAGGTTCGATCCCTGGGTTGGGAAGATCCCCTGGAGGAGGGCATGGCAACCCACTGCAGTATTCCTGCCTGGAGAAGTCCATGGACAGAGGAGCCTGGCGGGCCAGAGTCCACATGGCTGCAAAGAGTCAGACATGACTGAGCGACCAACACAACATTTAAAATTGTACAAAAGTTAATAATAATAATAATTTTAAAAATTTTACTTATTTGGAGGATGATGAATTTATAATACTGCAATTTTTTTTTTTTGCCATAAATTTTAAAGAAAGGAAAAAAAAATAAAGCTGACCTCTTGGGAAGGCTTCTCAGCATAAACACACAATGATGCAACCTCAAATAAAGGTAGAGGTGCCCACTCAACATGCTGACCCATGTCTGCTTTCAAACAATGACACACAGTTTAGCCATCCGGCCCTCCAGATGACATGGACACCTTGACCTCCACGTGGATTATGCAGCCTGGGGAAGCCAGGAAGGTGGTGAGGATCACAGAGGGCAGGAAGGAGGCAAATCCTTGGGCTTAACATCCCTTTAGAAGGCGAGGGTTCCCTCTCTTTCGAGAGACTGGCTCATTTATACACTCAGGGAGGAATTCCCAGTGCAAGCCTGGCTCTTTGCTCTGCCTCGTGGAGATAAAAGGCAAAAGACTTGGGGAGAGGAGCTGGTATGAGCCCACGAAACTGCTCTGCATGAATCACCTCCTTGCCCACACCCGCTGGTGTCCTCTTCCTTGCCAGCCCTCCGTCTTTTGCTGGGAAGATGCAGGTCGAGCTGGAGCTGGCTGGGGAGCTCATTAGCACCGCACCAGAGCCAAGCACTGCCTGCCTTCCAGAAGGTGTTGTGAACTCTCTCTTCAGTTACTTCCTGCAATCAATACTATGCTTCTGCAGTCACTCCATCCACGAACCTTGCAGCCACGGGAGGCTACAGGCTTCTAAGGATAACCTTTGGGCTGATTGACACGCACGCCTTCACTTCATAGGAAATGGTATTCTATCCTTGGCACATTGGTCCTCTGGACTCCTAACCCAGCAAGGCCCAGAGCTGGGGAGAGGCACCTCCAGGAAAGTGCGGGGAGTGGAGATTGAGGCCTGGGGACTGGAGCGATGTAAGCAGGAGGCCATGGTAAGAAAAGTGCTGCTGGGGGTGGTCCTTCACACAGTTCCCAAGACGGCTCAGGAGTCCCAGCTGGAGGCCCTGAAGCTGGGGCTCCTGCTCACACCTCAGACACAGTACTCCTGAGACCTTACATATTTTTCCCCTGATGACCACTTTGCTGCCTTGACCAGCTTCCAGCGGCCCTGCAAATGGCCATCAGGGCCCAGGAGAATCTTAGCTTTCCAGGTGGCCCAGCAGGTCCCATGTCTCTGGCAGGCCGTCCCTCCAGATGAGACACAGGACTCTGGAACCAGGATCTTCATGGACCTCTGGACAGTAGTGAGTCCTGTGGAGCACTGCTGATTCCCAGTTCTGCAGGGCTGCCTTCCAGAAGCCAGTTCCTCTCTGGGATGTAAAGGACCACTCTCGGCTTTTCCAAACACTAGCAGGAACCTGAGACATGGAGCCCTTCTTGCCTTCAGACTGTCTCTCAGTTCACCTTTAATATCACACCCCAAACAGTGATGCTGCTCTTTAGGGCCCTCTAACCACAGTCTCAATAAAGAGCTGAGGCTGTCAGATCCCAAAGCTTAGGATTATAGAAGATCAGAGCTGGGTAGGATCCTGGAAGAAAAAGACCTGGTCCAACCACACATGAGAAATGAAGTAAAAGGATACGTCCACTAGAGGATGTGCTGTGAGAATTATCCAAGACATCCTTCAAAAGTGCTGTATTAGTCAGCTTTTGCAGCAGTAACAAACATCCATGAATCTAAAAGAAATTCACTGACACTTGTTTCTTGTTCTCAGGTATGTGGGTCAATGTGGCTTGGCTCCAAGGTGCATTTAAATCTGCTCCTTGTTCTTGTTGTTCAATCAGTGGTATCTGACTTTCTGTGACTCCATGGACTGCAGCACACCAGGCCTCTCTGTCCTCCACTGTCTCTCAGTTTGCTCAAATTCATGTCCACTGAATCAGTGATGCTATCTGACCATCTCATCCTGTGTCACCCCCTTCTCCTTCTGCCTTCAATCTTTCCCAGCATCAGAGTCTTCCAGTAAGTGGCTCTTCCTATCAAGTGACAGAGTATGGAACTTCAGCTTCAGCATCAGTTGTTCCAATGAATATTCAAAGTTGATTTCCTTTAGGATTGACTGGTTTGATCTCCTTGCTTGCTATCTTTATGCCCCAGGAAAAGAAAACATGCACAGAACAATACAATCTTCCAGGGGAGCTTGTTAGCAAGCTCAAGCAAGGTTGAGCACATGGTGATCTCTGAGAACACATTAGATATACTCAACATTAGTACTATTCTCATTCTTAGTAGTGATCTTTAGCTGATGATTTTCTGATGCTCCAATAAGGTTGAGGCAGATGAGGCAGGAGGGGAGGGGGGGCAGGTGGCCACTGTTGGAACTTAGCAGTGGGCCTGGGAAAGGTTAACCCCTCTTGCCTGGTCCAGACTGGCTCTAAGAACTCGATGGGACCAGCTGTGATTGGAGGAGACGGACGAGGTTGCCGCCAGGCCAGGTCTGACTCTGCAGCTCTCCTTGGGACCACGGGCAGGACTTGGAGATGGTGGCACTCCACAGAAAAGTGAGCTCATGACAGGCCAGGACTTTATACCCAGGCCCTCGACCTCCTAAGTTGAATTCCCGCTCTACCCACACTAGGAGAGAGGGCAGGTTGAGATGGTATTAACTTTTTTTTTTTAACATATTTTTCTTGAAAAAAAAAAAAAACAACTTCTCAATGTTTATTTTTATTTCTTTCAGGCTGAAGCTTAACTCCAAAAATAGGCAGTCTTTTTCAGTAGCCCTGTCATTAGCAGTTGCTACAAACACTATGTCCCCCACACGTTGAACTGCAGGAACGATGCGGGAAAAGAGCAAAGAGAACAGAAATCTCCTGAGAATCACGCTGAGGGCGGGGCTGCAGGCCTGGGGCCAGGAGTCAGGCCTCCCCCAGACCTTCCTGTGTCTCCTGGAGGGCTGCCCACACCCTAGTACTTGCCTCTCTTGTGCACCTGAGTATGTACCTCCCCCAAGAGAACCTGGGGCCACTTAGACCCCCAACTCCACTCTAGCTATGTGTTCTTAGCCAGGTCACTGAACCTCTCTGAGTCTTCGATTTCTCACTTAGAAAGTGAAATCTGTAATAGTTGGTGGTTATTTGGGGGCATCTTCATTATGTGCATGTTAAAGAGCTACCTGATTTCATACAAGCAGCCACTCCTGGACTCCTTGCTCAACACAGTGATCTTGGGAATAAAGGGATGAACTGGACACAGCCCTTGACTTTACAGACATGACAGTCTAGCAGGGGTTCCTGTTCGGTGGACAGAGATTTGGGGGCACCTACCTAACTTTTGATGGTGAGGAAAGCTGCAAGGAAAGGCTTCCCCAGGCAGGGAGATGCTTTGGTTGAGCCAGGAAAGGTCGACAGGTAGGGAGGGGTAGTCCAAGGAAAGGGAATAGCATGTGCAAAAGGATAGAGGCTGATGATAATCAATTGGACTGGTTTCCAGCCCAGGTGCAGTGCAAAAATATGAAAGAGAAGAGGCTAAAAAGGGCTTTTCCCATCCTTTCAAATTGCTCTCTGATGACCTAGAGGGGTGGGATGGGGGCTGGGTGGAAGGGAGGTTCAAGAGGGGGGTGATTTATGTATTCAAATTGCTGTATTGTACAGCAGAAACTAACATAACACTGTAAAGCAATTACACTCCAATATTTTTTTTTAATTTAAAGCAATTATACTCCAATAAAAATTTTTTTTAAAAATTAAAGCTCTCATCACATGAAAATAAATAAATTACAGAAATAAAGTATCAAGAGAGAACCATGAAAACCAAACAAAGAGGCAGTAAGTAACAGAGAGCTACTGAGATTGTATACAATAAATGTCCACTTGGTGCCCACAGCAGGTCAAGTCGTTAGGGACAACGGATGGGCAAGGGCAGACCTGTCCTCATGGAGCCCTAGTCTAATGCACTTGACACATTTGTTCAAATAAGTGCAGTTTAGAGAGGCCCCCTTAGATGATGAGGGTGGGCAGGGCAGAAGTCATGGGAATAGCTATGTCACCAGCCAGTGGGGGCTAATGTCCACAGTGAGGTTCAGAAAGGGTATTCATGAAAGGGCCCCATGAGAGCTGTGGCTGGGAGGCACAGGGTCCAGTCAGTGGACGCAGCCTCCTTCTCTAGGCAATGAGGTCACTGAACATGGAATGCGGGCAGGCTTGAGCCTGACAGCAGGATGCAGGAGGCAGGGACAAATGCTAAGAGCTGGAAGAAGGAATGTAAAGACCCGGCCGCAGCCTCCTGGCTATAGCTTTACGGCTCCTCCCTCTGTCCTACAGTATAGCACAGGAAACTCTGCTCAATGCTATGTGGCAGGCTAGATGGGAGGGGAGTTTGGGGGAGAAGGGATATGTGTACATGGATGGCTGAGTCCCTTTTCTGGACACCTGAAACTATCACGACGCTGTTAATCGGCTGTACTCCAAAATAAAATAAAGAGTTAAAAAACAAAGACAGCAAGCATGATGGGAAAAAAAGAAGGTGCTTGAATTCTATAGCAGCAAAGATGCATATGAAAAACTGAGGATGAGCTGGAGGGGAGATTCAACATCTACAGAACATGTAAAGGTGTTATGGGTTCCCCTATGTCCCCCAGAAAGACAGGCTCAAGTCCTAACCCCCAGGTACACATGAACGTGTATGTGGAAACAGGGTCTATGCAGAAGAATGAAGCTGTGATGAGGTCCTACTGGCTTATGGTGGGTTCCTCATGCAGGGACTGGTCTCCTTATAAGAGGAGGGACATTAAGACACAGAGACGCGCACAGAGACAAGAAGGCCACATGATGACAGAGGCAGAGACTAGAGTGATGCGTCTACCAGCTGAGGGTCACCAGTGACCACCGGAAGCGTGGAGCAGACTCCCCCTCAGCGCCTACATGAGGAACAAGCCTGCCGACACGCTGATGTTGGATTTCTGACTTCTAGAACTGTGAGAGAGTGAATTCCTGTTACTTCAGCTCACCCAGTTTGCAGTCACCTGTTCCTGCAGTCTTGAGGAACTCATACAGTGGTAGTCTGAATTTGAGCCATTTGGCAGCCTTGGGGAGAGCAAGTTGCAGCACCCCAAGCTGCATTCACCCCACCTCGTGGGACAGAGCCGGGAGGTGGCTTGTGAGCACAAGGCGCTGCCAGCTGTGGTTCTGGCCACACGTGTCACTTCTGGCTGCACTGTCACACACACCATTCACAACGAGAAGACAAGCTCATCGTTCACTTTGAAGATGGCACAGCAGGCTTGCAGAAGCGCGGGGGCACACCCAGGTCACAGAGCTGGCCAGC